GTCCTCTTTTGGAAGGCCAAACAAAGTAGTTTCACTTTCACAAGGAAACACACAGCGACTCCACAACATGACAGCGGCGGCAACAGCGAGAATAAAAGTTACGCCTTCTTTCTTTGCGTGAACATTTTGGGCGGCGTTATGCAAATCTTCCCTCATCGTGACGTAGATGTGGGGGCGTGTTAGAACGAGGCGTTTTAGATAGGCGTGGCTGACTCTTAACTTTTATAAAGAAGATCTCTTTGGATTTTAGACGTTAGTCTTTGCAACTTTACAGATCTTCTTTATGCACCAAGAGCTTGTAACACTCCAAAGAGAAAGGAAAAATTGAAATCGCATCATATGACCCCTTTAATAAGCAATTGGGTGGACTTTTTTGTAAAAACCTGGCAACCCTGATACATCTTCTTGAACCTGAAAAAACAGTTTGCTCAAACTAAACTCAAAACTTACATGTGTAGCCATTTAAAGCAGCTTTATGACATAGGCCACCGGCTTTGGCCAATCATGCGTTAGAATTTTGGGAGGGCCAATCACATTGCACTCGCTTGGACACGCCCCTGCTCACAGCGAGATCTTGATGATTTAGGTTCTGATAATCAGCATTAATCCATTTGAAAGGCTTAACAATAGTCTGCTTATCAGCACAAAACAGAGGCCCAATCACATTCAATATGTTTTCTTTTATATAAAGAACAAACAGACTGTAACAAGAACATGAAAGGAAATTAGCTGTAGAGTTATTAGGCCTGGAGAGAGACCAACATAATGAAAGTCCACTTCCCTGCTGTGTGATTTTAATGCTAAAGTTCACCCAAAAGTCAAATTCTGTTATAATTTACTCATCTCATCTTGTTAAAAACCTGTATGATTTTCTTTATTCTGTGCACTTTTAACAATGTTTTTTTTATCTGTTCCCCAAAGAACCTTTCTTAAGAACCATATTTTATTAGTGTGAAGAACATTTTATAATCTAAAGAATTTTTTTTCCACTTTAAAGAACATTTTGTGTAATGGAAAGGTTTCATGATTTTTAAAGGTTCTTCATGGAACTATAGATGCCACTTAAGAAGAGTATGGAATGCAAAAGAAGATGTTTAGCAGAATGATTGAGCAGCTCTCTTCCATAAACTGAAAATGAATGATGTCCAGGGGCTCTCAAGCTCCAAAAAAATGAAGTAAAAGGTGACAAAATTGTCTTTTTGGCTGAACTGAGTCTGGTTTTGGAGTGAGGGTGAATTGTTCATGCTGGGTGTTCTTTTTGGCTGTGAGCGGTCACATCATTCACACGGGTGTTCAGCTGGACAGTTGATCCTCTGACAGGCCAAAGTCTGAATTCCCATCACGACTCTCCTGCCTCCCTTTAACTGACAAACACCTTTTCCCCTTCCCCTCATCCTCTGATCCTCCCTCTCTCATTCAGCACAACCGGCTGGAAAGAAAAATCGAAACTTAGATATCTTTAATGTCTCAGTTGTTTCTTCTCCACATCAAAGACATTAAATGGAGAGCAAATGGACACTGATGCATAAGTCTTCTGCTTGTCAGTAATCTCACATGTTTCTCCTCTTGAGTTTCAGAGGAGATCTTAAATGAAACACAAGTGAGACTTTCTTGAAGTCTCCTGAGCTACTTCCTCTGGGAGTTTCTAATATGTGGGTTTTTCTGAGCACATGTTTTTTATCCTTGCTTTTTTGTTTATTCAATTTGGTACTTTCATTGCCTATTCAAAATCCATTAGGGCCAGGCACACAGAGGGGAAACTGGGTAAAAATGCTCTTTAAATGACAGAAACAGGGCTGCAATTTTCTGAGGCAGACGCTGAGATGTGTTTTGTGGTGGAAGTTATTGTAAGGAAAAAGTGAAGTTTTTGATAACTGAGAGATCCGATGACACTGCCTTTCATGCTGTCTTGGACTTGCACTTTGTTCTGTCTCTTCCATTTCTCTTTTTATTGCTGTACCTTAATATGCCTTTTGATTGTGTTTGATTGAATATGTGCAGCTTTGAGACTACTAACCTGAAGTACTCTCACATCATTTTCAAAGGCATTGTGGAACAGATAGACCGCTGAAGAGCTTACGGTAGAGCTGAACTTACCAGGGTTACAACAGTTAACTAAAAATAAAATCATAAAAAATATGATAATAATAATAAAATTATTAATAATAATAATAATAATGATGATGATAAAAATACTTTGGCTAGTTGACAAGGCAGCATTTCTAATTTTTGTTTAGCTTCATGTACTAAAATAACTCAAACTAACTGAAATAAATGAATACTAACTATATAGACATATTAAGTGGACAGGCCTAACGCTGGACGAGACCTTGAGAAAAGCTGAGAAGAGGAAGGAATGGAAGGAGCTGGTTGCCAGAGCATCTGGTGAAGACATATTAAACAACTAATAAAAATTACAAAATTACTAAAATTAAAATCACTAAATTTAACTAAAATTACAATGAAAACAGAGATTGTAAAAATGAAAATTCATTAAAAACATTCATTTAAACGATAATAGTATGTCAGTTATACTAAAACAAGACTGAAACTTACCTATTTTATTTTATATTATATTATATTTTTAATAATAAGAAGAATAAAAATGTTGTTGTTGTTGATGGTGATGATGATTATGATGATAATGTTTTGTTGTCGTTGTTATTATTATTATTATTATTATCAACATCATTATTTTTTTGTCCTTCTTATTATTTAAACCTTGTGTGCATTAATTTTGTCATAATTTATTAATTCCATTATAGGTTGTTTGATTGGTCATATAAGTGGAAATAGATGGCATAAGCATTATTTTTCAGTCTAATTTATATTTAAAAATTAATTCCATAATTTTGCTATTCCAAATGAAAAGTTCTCCCACTGCCTGAACTGAAAATGCATATTTCAGCTATATAGCAGATGCCAAGCAGCTGAAAGATCTCCAAGAATCAGCAGCCATACACTCCTTAAGGTCAAACCCAGAAAGTGGTCAGTAACAGCGAGTGTCTGATAATGGCACACTCGAGCGGTCAGCCTGCCTAGGGCTAATGAAAGTCCACCTGGATATAGACCAAACCACTCTGGAGATCCCACTGGCCTGGAGCTGTTCTCCAACGTAATGTTTACGTATGCAAAGCTCTCCTCTCCTGCTCAAACTGAGGAACCGCTGGGCTTTGATCCACATTTACTGCCACGATTCTCTGGGGGAAAAGCTCATGGAAATGCAAGCCGAGGAACAACGGAGTAACCTACGGCTGCTGGCTCAGCACTTTGAGTGCCTTTGAAAGGAGCACAGTGGGAGACTCTGGACAAATGTTTGGTGTGGCAGTTTTAGCCGATAACATTTGTAAGCTGTTCTATAATACTGAGAATTTGTTGTATGAAGTGCCCACATGCTGTGCTATACGTCAGATGCAGATCAAATCAAATCAGCAGGTCTATTCTAAAGTAATACGAAGAAAAAAAATCTTGATTTCCAGTAAAAAGATGCAAAAGATATTTAAGAATAAATCATGAAGTTACTGTATAATGTCAAATTGTATATAATTATATTAATTATATAAAATTTGTATATTGTAAGCATAAATTGCATAGTAGTTATATATATTTATACACACATATGTGTATATATATATATACAATTCGATTTTTATAATTTATAAGTTGTGAAATTCTAGGCTATATTATATCCAAAATATAAAACTAAAATTTTGTATATATAAGTGCTGTCACTCGATTAATCACATACAAAATAGAAAGTTTGTGTTTACATAATATATGTGTGGGTACTGTGTATATTTACATATTTACATGTGATTTAATGCATTTGACAGCACATAGATAGATAGATAGATAGATAGATAGATCAAATATTTATACATCAGAAATGTATAAATCAAGCCAATGATGAACTGACATATTCAAAAAGAACCAAAATGAGTTGTGTTGTATAATGCTATTGAAATTATTTATTTATTCTTTTTCCCCCCAAAGCTGGTGGCATCTGATGGCGTTCAACAGAGCAGACCCGTGACGGTGGACATCCTGGTCATCGATGCGAATGACAACACACCCACTTTCGGTCAGGTGTCCTACAGTGTGGAGATCTTCACTAACATGCTGCCCGGAGAGACCGTCCTGCAGGTGAGGGCACAACACTACAGCTCAGAAACACTCACTTTACTCACCAAGAGCCATTTATGAATCATTTATTCATAGCGGAGTGTTTATTGAGAACTCTAAATGTGATTTGGTGTGTGAAATGAACTCGGCCCTATGTTTGCTTCATTAATAACTGAAGATTCTAGTCAAATTATTGAATGTGACTCAACAGCTTCTGGGATTTTTTTTTCTTTCTGATGAAATATGTGAAAAATGCATTGAAAAATGAAGCAAACTGTCATTCAGCTATATGAACACAAAGGAGCGCAGGCAATAAAGCAACTTTTTAAAGAGGAACCAGATCATATGAACCGCAGCTAATGAACTGCAGTGAGTCATACTGCGATCTGTTTACATCTTTAACCAGACTTTCTGAACCCCATTCAAATGCCTAAATATCATTTTTCTCCCCGGGGTGTCTTTTGAATAATTTGTATATATTTTTATGTTTACTTTTCAGTTGTTTTCTTCCAGTGTTGAGAAATAGCTTGCTTCTAAAAATTGCAGCGTTTCTAATTTAACTGCATGTTTTAGTTGTCACAGTGCTTTCAACAATGCAGCCTTTCCAGTAACAAACTACTTTTTCAAAAAAAAGTAGCATGGGAAAATTATTTTTTAAGTCTTTGCATATTTTTATTGTGAAATATTTCACGATTTAAGTGCAGCTGTCCATCAATATCTATCTAAGACAAATAATTGTCTTTTTTTAGTTTTAGTTTTATTAGTTGTATATTAGTGTAAATTAGAGGTTGAAGGTATACATTCATGAATATAGTATTCCCCAATTAATAGTTTGACTATATTTAGCTATTCATCTTAGTAGCTTGTTGTGTAGCTAACTACTTTTGTAGCTTTAGCCAAGCTTTTTTAAGTAAGTAGCTTTTCTATAATTAAATTGCTTTAAATTATTCAGTTTCAAAGTAGCTTTCCCGACACTGATTTGTTCGGATGACCTGTCCATCTGCCGCTCTCATTCTGTCTCTTCCATTTGCAACATTTTGTGAGTGACAAAATACATCTAGGTACATCAGTACATTGTAGTTCAGTTCAACAACTTGTTTAGTTTGATCTATAAACATAGTGCAGCTTATTCTGCAATTTTAAGGTTGTGTATTTGGTCATAAAACACAGTTGATGCTCCTGTAAATAACCAAACTCTGTTTGTATAAACTAGCATTAAGCTCTCAAAAGGCAAATTACAGCTATTTTCATCTGCATTGTGAAAGTGGCTTGTGTCGACATGGTGGGCTGACAAAAAGTGGGACAAAATGATATAACGTGAACATAATGTGTGCTTTTCTGTCCCTCAGGCTATGGCATATTCACTCTCTCTCAGTAACGATTCTCTCAGCTTTATTTTGGCACTCTGCTCATGTTCTGCTCTGCCTGTGTTTGCCGTAAAACACAGTTGATGCTCCTGTAAATAACCAAACTCTGTTTGTATAAACTAGCATTAAGCTCTCAAAAGGCAAATTACAGCTATTTTCATCTGCATTGTGAAAGTGGCTTGTGTCGACATGGTGGGCTGACAAAAAGTGGGACAAAATGATATAAAGTGAACATAATGTGTGCTTTTCTGTCCCTCAGGCTATGGCATATTCACTCTCTCTCAGTAACGATTCTCTCAGCTTTATTTTGGCACTCTGCTCATGTTCTGCTCTGCCTGTGTTTGCCTCATTCCGTCACGGCTGGGTCACGATTCAAAGGAAAATCAGTCACATAAAGGCCTGTAGTATCTCTTGAAATAACAAGCCGCTCGGATCCTGCTGAAATGAGGTCACAGGTCACAACTAGGTCAGCCGGGCCACTTGGATGCATTTTATAAGCCATATTTGCTGCCCTCGAGTGAGTGTGTGTGTGTATGTGAGAATTATTTTCCTTACCTCAGCACTCCAAGCAGCTAAAGGCACGGCGGTACGGATCAGTGCTTCTGGAGAGTTTTCTCAATAATGAGAGCCGTGGATGGAGGTGGCGCTTTCTTATTAGCAGGACTTTGAATTAATTACCCTTAGGGTGTATTTATTGCCCCGGTGCTTTTAAAGACGATAACGTTCAGAGTTAAGTGTTTACATCTAAATGCACGTCTTTGAACCTAATCAAAAGTGTTTAGTCTTTGATCTGTACCTTTGTGTTTGAGAATTTATCCTGAATAATCATATTATGCTGCTTTTAAACCTCATTAATACGGAGAGTCTAATCTGCATTTTAATAAGGATGGATGGATGGATTTTCTGTTATGGTTGATTTAAAGTAATGAGTGTTAAGTTTAAAGAAAGTAAAAATTCAGCGAGTAGAACTAAGACCTCATTTGTAAATATTATGAGAAAACATGAAAATTATACTAGGCTTTTGAGCATGGTACCATGGTACCACCATGTTTTTTAAGCCATGCATTATAGGAGTACCATGGTATTCAATAAAGTGTACTACTAGTTAAACAGTGCATTTCACCATTTGAAAATATTAAACACAATTTGATAGAAAGACTTAAATGCCTGAAGTTATAAATAAATAAAAAGGACATAATTTTTTCCTGGAAAAGCCATTCATATTAAGAAAATACACACAATTGCCATGAAAATGGCATGAAAAATTATATGTTAATATTTTTATGCATATAATATTTCTATATTTAATTTATTTTAATATATATTTTTATTATTCTTTGTAGTTTTTTTTCTATTAATTATCTTTATACATTGATTTTTAATTGAATGATTTGAATGAGATCCCTAACTTAATTATGATCAAATTATGAGTCAACACAGACTAATAAAATTCTATAAATATATGTTTATGCATATATAATGTTGATATTCTAATATATTTAATTATATAATGTGTATTTAATATAATATTTTATGTAATATAATATATAAAAAATTTTAAAGTAATTATTTGTAGTTTTTTTCTAGTATTTTTTTATTGTTGTTCTAAACAATTTCATTGATTTGAAATTGCTATTTGTGTGTGCATTCTCTTTAAAATAAGTTAACACAAAGATATTAAAAACCAAAATATATTCAATTCCAAGTACATTACCATAGCATTTTTGGAAGGGTAATGAAGATCAGTGTGAAACAAATGAATGTGGCTTAAAGGAGACATATTATGCCCCTTTTTACAATATGTAATATAAGTCTCTGGTATCCCCAGAATGTGTCTGTGAAGTTTCAGCTCAGATAATTTATTATATCATTTTGAAAATGCCTATTTTGAGTGGAAGCAGAAACACGCTGTTTTTCAGGCTTGTCTCTTTAAATGCAAATGAGCTGCTGCTCCCCGCCCCCTTTTCCAGAATAGAGCTGCGCCATTACAGCTCGGACCTGCTAAAAACAGCTGTTATGGTTGTGATCATGTTTATCACGCTGAAATCATGCAGTTTAAACCATATTAGTTTAAACTTCTGATATACGGTTTTCTGAGAGCACACATCCGAAGCACACGGACAGAAAGCGGCTGTCACAGCATGTGAATACTAAACTAAGTTCTCATTCACACACAAGTTCACGTTAAAAACACACGAGTTACAAAAACAGTTGGTTATGTCTGCGAAGGTAAACTGCTGGAAAATAAATAGCATGTTTATTTTAGATCTAAATAGTGTTCTGTGCTCGTCTGTGTAGACAAAGGCAGAACTTTCGCCATGGCATTAGAGCTGGTACACCGTTATCGCTTGCGAAAACACAATGACGGCACCGTGGGTGGAAACTTACAGATTAAGGGGCGGTAATATTATAATGAGATCCCTTTGCAACGTCACCAAGGGAGCGAAAAATCAGACGTGCTCGTTTTCTCAGATGCTTGCAGAAAAAGGCTTACCAAAACAAAGTTACTGGGTTAATCTTTTTCACGTTTCCTTGGTTGGTAGATGCACCGGGGACCTGATTATAGAACTTAAAACCTGGAAAAGTCAGATTTTCATGATATGTCACCTTTAAAATAATACTGTCTCTGTTTGTTCTGTCAGCTGACGGCTCAGGACGCTGATGCTGGTTTAAACGGCCTCATCACGTACGCCATCCTGGCTGGAGATCAAGGTGATTTCATCATCAACAACCGCACAGGACGAATCATGTTAGCACCAGGGGTCACACTGACTGTCGGCCGTTCCTACGCACTGACCGTGAGAGCGTCAGACAACGCTCCTGACACAGAGAGGAGGTCAGATGTGACTTCATTACATCAGTTACATCTCTTGAGTGTTTGCTTGTGTCTTTGGTCTTTTATTTTCTTTGTCACTATGCGTATAGGAGCTCCATAACTACAGTCTACATAGAGGTTCTGCCACCTAACAATCAGAGTCCACCACGATTCCCCCAACAGACCTACAACCTGGAGATCAGCGAGGGCATGAGGATAGGAGCCATACTGCTGAACCTGCAGGTACACACACAGATTTGACTTGGAATGGAATAATAACCTACTGTTTATAGCATATTATACAATATACTCTAAAAACTGCCAACTTTTTAAACGGTATTTAAACATGGTCATGCAAAACATGTCATAAAAATATCTGAAATTTTTAAAATTCTCCGTTCTGGACATGGAAATTTCTAATGTCATAATAATTATATTAATCATATAATAATAATAATATATAATTATATAATAAATAATAATATATAATATAATATAACAACTATATAATAACAATAATTATATAACATAATAATATTTTATATAATATATTTTAATATTTTTAGTCATGTTTCTTCATTTTTAAATCATTATTATTGTTCTTAATGGACTTTAAAGTTTTATTTGTGTGTGCAATCTCTATTAAATGATTTGCAGAAATTCTTATCCAGTAATCACGAATGACTGAAAAAGTCTTGAAAAATTCATGGGTCAATAGGTGTTGGAAGCCTGGTCTTAAGCCTTTGAAGTCTGATCAAATTATGAATAAAAAAAAGATGTTGGCAGATACACTGAAAATAGAAGGTCAAGTTGAATGCATTGCATTGTGGGATGCAGTATCCCACGCAGTATGCCCTTTTGTATACTGCACATTTTGATAAATGTAGTAGGTCATCTGGGTATTCTGTGCATGCAGAAAATTAGCATACTACTGAATGCACAGTAAAGATACTGCTAAAGTGGAGTGTGTAGTTAGCCATTCTGAACATGGCCACATATATACAGTCATTTATTTTTTCATAAGATAATATGAAATTATTTTTATAATTTTACATTTATTATCAAATATTTTATGATTTTACAACTCAACTGCACAGACAAATTGTGCTGTCAAACTCAGAAAACGACATAATCAATATCAGCAGGTATCCTGGAATAGATGTAGGGTTATAAATTTATATATGTCACTGATTCTACATTTGTTCATCATGTCCTTCAAACAGACTTGGCCTTTTCATTTAAGTGTATTGTTATGCTGCAATTGATTTTATGTTACATTGATTTTATGTTTTACCAGCCGGTACGTGAGTGTGAATTTATGTATTTTCACAGGCTACAGACCGTGAGCTGGATCCTATCACCTACCAGATACAAAGTGGTGACCCGCAGCATGTCTTCAACCTTTCACGAACGTAAGTTTTCATTAATAAATAAAACTCATCAATTAAGAATGTACAGATCTTGTATTGCAATTCAGAATATTCTATTTGTTTGCACATCTTGAACCGCAACATTGACTCAGCCAATGGCGTGAGTTTAGGGACAGAAATATCTAGTACATACAGTATATGGCATATGGTCTATAAAGTACGTACATCTGTGCCTCTCTCTGCATGAGAATCCCTCATTGGAGGAATGAAGACAAGACAAATGCACAAACAAGCTTACAGTGTGAACGTTTCTGGGAAAGAATGTGTGAGAATTTGAAAGGTGTTGTTTAATAGTAACATGTAGTTGGTTTATTAATGACATTTATGACTGTTGTTAGTAGTAACAAGAGAGAGTTATCAGAGCAGAGAGGCAGCGCTAGTGTTATATACATCTCTTGACTTATTTTTCTTGTTTCACTTCATCTGTTCTTTTGTTTTCTGTATTTTCTTTTTTTGGCTCACCTCACCTAGTCTGTTCTCTGCTTTTGTGTCTTCTCATCATGCTTCATCTCATTGTACTTTGCTGTGCCTTGCCTCGTCTAATTTCATCGGGTCTGGTCTTATCTCTTCTTATCATGTCTTTTCTTATCATTTATCTTCTCATCATCTCATCTCATCGGGTCTCTTCACATCTCGTATCACCTTTTATCTTTTTATGCTTCACTGCATCATCACTTCATCTTCTCTTCTCTTCTCCTCTCCTCTGCTCTTCTCGCTACACGTCATCTTTCTTATGTTGTGTCATTTCTCTTCTCTTTTTATTGTGTTAGTTCTCATTTGGTTTCCTCTTCTGACTTTTTAAATTGCCTTGTCATCCTGCCTCATCTCCTCTCATCTTCGTATCACATCTCATCTTATCTTGTCTCATCTTCATATCTCGTCTCATCTCATCTTGCCTCATCACATCTTCGTATCTTGTCTCATTACATCTCATCTCATCTCATATTGCCTCATCTCATCTCATCTTGTCTCATCACGTCTCATCTCATCTTTGGATCTTGTCTCATCTCGTCTTGCCTCAACTTTTCTCATCTCATCATCATATCTTGTCTCATCTCATCTCAACTTGCCTCATCACATCTTCTTATCTTGTCTCATTTCATCTCGTTTCATCTCATCTTTGTATCTTGTCTCATCTCATCTTGTCTCATTTCATCTGGTCTCATCTCATCTTGTCTCATCTCATCTTCATATTTTGTCACATCTCATCTCGTCTCATCTCATCTTATCTCATCTGGCCTCATCATGTCTCATCTCATCTTATCTCATCTCATTTCATCTCATCTTCGTGTCTCATTTCATCTCATCTTCGTGTCTCATCTTGTCTCATTTCATCTCATCTCGTCTCATCTCATCTTCGTGTCTCATCTCATGTTGCCTCATCTCATCTTCGTGTCTCATCTTGTCTCATCTTATCTTGTCTCATCTCATCTTATGTTGTCATCTTCGTGTCTCATCTTGTCTCATTTCATCTCATCTTCGTGTCTCATCTTGTCTCATTTCATCTCATCTTCGTGTCTCATCTTGTCTCATTTCATCTCATCTCGTCTCATCTCATCTTCGTGTCTCATCTCATGTTGCCTCATCTCATCTTCGTGTCTCATCTTGTCTCATCTTATCTTGTCTCATCTCATCTTATGTTGTTTCATCTCATCTTCGTATCTCATCTCATCTTGCCTCATCATATCTCATCTCATCTTATCTTGTCTCATCTTCATATCTCGTCTCATCTCATCTTGCCTCATCACATCTTCGTATCTTGTCTCATTACATCTCATCTCATCTCATATTGCCTCATCTCATCTCATCTTGTCTCATCACGTCTCATCTCATCTTTGGATCTTGTCTCATCTCGTCTTGCCTCAACTTTTCTCATCTCATCATCATATCTTGTCTCATCTCATCTCAACTTGCCTCATCACATCTTCTTATCTTGTCTCATTTCATCTCGTTTCATCTCATCTTTGTATCTTGTCTCATCTCATCTTGTCTCATTTCATCTGGTCTCATCTCATCTTGTCTCATCTCATCTTTGTATCTTGTCTCATCTCACCTTTACTTGTCTTTTTGTGCCACAAATCATCTTTCTCATCTCGTTTCATTTGGTCTCTTCTCTTGTCACCTTATCTCCTCTCTATTCATTTGACCTGGCCTCATCTTGCTTCATCTCATCTTATCTTATCGCATCTTTCTCTTCTAATTTCGTCAGATCTTTTCTAATCTCATGTGATCTGGTTTTCTTACTCTCTACGTCTCGTCTCTATTTGTCTCTTCTCTTCTCTTCTCTTCTCTTCTCTTCTCTTCTCTTCTCTTCTCTTCTCTTCTCTTCTCTTCTCTTCTCTTCTCTTCTCTTCTCTTATCTTATCTCATCTTGCCTCATTTCATCTCATCTTCGTGTCTCATCTTGTCTCATTTCATCTCATCTCGTCTCATCTCATCTTCGTGTCTCATCTCATGTTGCCTCATCTCATCTTCGTGTCTCATCTTGTCTCATCTTATCTTGTCTCATCTCATCTTATGTTGTCTCATCTCATCTTCGTATCTCATCTCATCTTGCCTCATCATATCTCATCTCATCTTATCTTGTCTCATCTTCATATCTCGCCTCACCTCATCTTGCCACATCACGTCTCCTCATCTTGTCTCATCTTCATATCACGTCTCATCTCATCTTGCCTCATCACATCTCATCTTATCTTGTCTCATCTCATCTTGCCTCATCTCATCTTCATCACATCTCATCTCATCTTATCTTGTCTCATCTCATCTTTGTATCTTGTCTCATCTCATCTTGTCTCATTTCATCTGGTCTCATCTCATCTTGTCTCATCTCATCTTCATATTTTGTCACATCTCATCTCGTCTCATCTCATCTTATCTCATCTGGCCTCATCATGTCTCATCTCATCTTATCTCATCTCATCTTATCTCATCTTGCCTCATTTCATCTCATCTTCGTGTCTCATCTTGTCTCATTTCATCTCATCTTCGTGTCTCATCTTGTCTCATTTCATCTCATCTCGTCTCATCTCATCTTCGTGTCTCATCTCATGTTGCCTCATCTCATCTTCGTGTCTCATCTTGTCTCATTTCATCTCATCTCGTCTCATCTCATCTTCGTGTCTCATCTCATGTTGCCTCATCTCATCTTCGTGTCTCATCTTGTCTCATTTCATCTCATCTCGTCTCATCTCATCTTCGTGTCTCATCTCATGTTGCCTCATCTCATCTTCGTGTCTCATCTTGTCTCATTTCATCTCATCTCGTCTCATCTCATCTTCGTGTCTCATCTCATGTTGCCTCATCTCATCTTCGTGTCTCATCTTGTCTCATCTTATCTTGTCTCATCTCATCTTATGTTGTTTCATCTCATCTTCGTATCTCATCTCATCTTGCCTCATCATATCTCATCTCATCTTATCTTGTCTCATCTCATCTTGCCTCATCTCATCTTCATCACATCTCATCTCATCTTATCTTGTCTCATCTCATCTTTGTATCTTGTCTCATCTCACCTTTACTTGTCTTTTTGTGCCACAAATCATCTTTCTCATCTCGTTTCATTTGGTCTCTTCTCTTGTCACCTTATCTCCTCTCTATTCATTTGACCTGGCCTCATCTTGCTTCATCTCATCTTATCTTATCGCATCTTTCTCTTCTAATTTCGTCAGATCTTTTCTAATCTCATGTGATCTGGTTTTCTTACTCTCTACGTCTCGTCTCTATTTGTCTCTTCTCTTCTCTTCTCTTCTCTTCTCTTCTCTTCTCTTCTCTTGATTAATATCATCAATAATGTCACTGGTAAAATGTGGAGAGGTTTTGTGAGGTGACTGCTGAAATAAAACCCTCTTTCATTGATTTGTCTTACAAATGATTTTTTTTCTGTTGAAGAAACAGCAAAGGCAGTTGAAGAGTCATTAAAAAGGGATGTTAAAATTTAAAGACTTTGCCTTGAATGCTATGTGGCCGGCAGAAGGTTTGTGAGGTCGAAAGAAAAGAGAATCCCAGTCACTGAAGTGTTTTATACGGCTGTTTCACAGGCTTCAGAGGACACGTTCAATATCGCTTTTGTAGAGGTCAACTGAGGAGGAATATAATTCTGCACACACACACACACACACACACACAAACACAAACATGAGCAAGCAGCACAGCAGCCTGCTTCTTCTGCTGTGTGTGACTGCAATGTTAACAGGATCTTGTCTGTCCATCCTCATCCACCGCTTCCCCCACACACACGTGTGAGCTCACTGTAGGATGAGCCTGATGATTCGCAGAAATCCTATTGGTCTACAAATGATAATGGCATCCCTGTGGCCGGTGGTTCAGCGTGGATGATCACAGATATTGGTTGTTGAATTGCACATGCAGATACCAATGTTTATTTACTACTTGCATTGTTTTAGCAGCTGATTCAACAAAGGAATTATGCAAATAATGGTCACGACACAAACACACCCAAAAATGTAATCCTGAATACAATTTCCAAGGCACAGTTTCTGATCGTGCAGGTCATTCTGTGTTCTAAGTACGTGTTCTACCTCATCATTATGAAAATAATCACAGTATTAAACAGATGGTTCAATTGAAAATTCTGTCATCATTTACTCACCCTCATGTTATTCTAAAAATTGTTTATGCTGATTTTTCTTTTATATATATAATGAAAGTGGAAGAGCTGTCATGATAAAAAAAATGACTAAAAGCATGTTAAAGTGTCATAAAAATAGTCTGTATGATTCATAACTCTGAATAGCTGAAATAGATTTGTATGTGGAACAGATGTGCATTGACACTTTTGCTCTCAAATCTCATTTGTGCTATTTGAATATTAGCATATTCAGATTTGGTGCATCATGATTGGGTTATGAGACCCAATGATGTTTGTCATCATTGATGTGACACATCTTGAAGCACCATATGAAATATATATGTTTCACCATCCACATACATTTTATGAAAAAGAGCCCCACCCTACATAAAATCTCCCTCTGAAAACAATCAAGGAGGTTTGAAACAACATAAAGAGTAAATGACAGAAATGTAAAGTTTGGGTAAAATGCTCATTTAATTTAGTTGACAAGATTCATCACTGTCCTCAATATTGACTAAACATAATTATTTTTTTTGCTGGCTGTAATTTATTTTTTGTCCATTCAATTTTTGTCAGGTCAATTTAAAGTAATTTATTGACATGATTGTGTTTACATACAGTATTGCCTAATAAATATAAAGAATTATACAGAATAATGACAATGACAATAACAACAATATCAAATAAAAACTTTATTAAGGTGCTAGTAATGAACAAAATCAAGAAAAAAATATGTATGAATGAATACAATCCAGATAAAAATACTATATCATAAAAACCGACATTTATCAAGGCATAATGAAGAAAAGCAATACAGTAATATTATGTACAATGATGTTCTTTGCTTATATTGATCAAGGCAGTAGTTGGTTTCTGAGGGTGTGCAGCTGAAAAAACAAATATTAATTTTATTTTTCCTCTCTACGTCACTTCCCTGTTTGTCTCTGTGTACTTTTTTAAATGACAGAAAATAAAGCTAAAGATTATGAGAAGAAATATTTCAATAGAAAATTTAAAGAAAGTGTTATGTGTCTGTTCAGTATAGGTCTTCTGCTGCTGGCCAAACCTCTGGACAGAGAGACTATTGACCAGTATCGCCTCATCGTCACGGCATCTGACGGCCACCCAGGAGGGGTGAGACTGCACCATCCCACAAAACCAGCACTATAACACTGACTGACAGCTGCTCTGATTCAAACGTCTGATCTCTTCACAACCTTGTTTCATATCTTTCATATAATGTTTTATGCCACATTCTCGTGTTGCTTTAAATGCATATTTTCACAAAAGCAACCACAAACAAAGCTGGAAAAAACTCTGTACTTCTATATAATTTGGTATTCATTCGTTTTTTTCCTTTTGCATAGTCATTACTGTCAAAAACTCCTCAAGGATGTTCTGTAATGAGACTCATCTTGTTTAAACACATTCACCTTTTTAAAAGAACATTTACTCGTAATATCAGCTTAGCTTCTCTAATGAGAGAACTTCAGCAAACAGAGAAACGCTGGAGTGCTAAATGACTGCATGAAGCTCATTTATCAAACTCAGGCTGATATCTGTAGAGCCGATGAAGAGGGAGTTTTCAAGGAAGACAGGCACGTTAAAAGCATTTTGAGACATAAGGACGTGCCTTCATCTTTCCCTGCGCAACATGACTGGGCAAAATGACTTTCATCTGGTCAAACAAGTCCATTAAATCATTTACATTTCAGATCATGGTCATAGAAAGTGCAAAGCGGTTAATTAATCAATGTAATTTACCTGACCTCCACATCTTAAAGCATGATAATGATATCTAATGTAATATTCAGTGCAGCTCACATTCTTGAGATCAAACAGGCTTCAGTGGGGTTCAGCACATTCGTATTGCACTTGTCCTTCAGTCTGTGTGTGTGTGTGTGTTTGATGGTGTTGATGCCTCTTGACAGAATTGTAGGAAAAGAAATTGTAGTGCACCTGAACATGTTTTTGCCAAACAACAACTCCATCTATGACTACATAATTCCCTTTCCAGAAGTTTTTTTTTTTCTTTTTTCCTTTTTTTGCTGAATTAATTTTTCATGCACATCCCACTGGGATTTAAACTCTACATGCTGATCTTGACTGATCGGTTGAATTTATATTCATCACTGTGTGCTATTAAACTTTTAAGCCCCAGGAACTCAATTGCGTATGATTTAATTACATCTCTGCAAATGTGTTTCTGGAATAGAGTCAGAAACTAAATGGTGACACTATTTTATTTTTTACCAGTGAAGTCATTTTCAATATTTAAAAAGGCAACAAATAAGACTGACAGACAGCAGCATTGTGAATGTCAGAGTGAATGCTGTGAAAGGTTCAGGGTTTGACAGCAAGTGCACACTGAACTCCAGGGTTCAGTAGAACTGTCAGGACTGTGCTTTTTGTAGGTTTATAGGCACAAACAACCAATTCCTTCCAAAAATTTTCTGCAAAGACCTTCATATGAATATTAAAGCATAAATGCTTTTATTTTTTAATTTAGTATTTCTATTTTATTCTCTTTCCAAATGAGTTTTATTATTATATTATTAGTAGTATTAATAGTATTTTTTTTTTATGGAAAAATATTTAGGTTTTAGTGTTTTAGGGCTGCAGACGTGAATGCTGGAACTAGTATCATTAAAAATATTTAATGGCATTTTATTTCTCAGCACAGTCTAGTGTTGTTGCTTTTTAGTTCCTTGAACATTAAACTAAATATTAAAACATAATATATTTTTTAATTGAACTCATATTAATTAGCTAGTTTTCTTTTCTATTTTATTACCAATTTGTCTTTCTAATTTAGTTTAGTTTTTTAGTTTTTAGTCAGGTGGGTTGTAAAGCTTTACAATATGCCATTTGCCAAACAGAAATAAATAAATAAATGGTATTATAATATTATTATTATTAATATTATTAATAAACTAAAATTAACTTGAATTAAATACATTTTATTTTTAATTTGGAGTCATGAAAGTATATGTTAGTTTAGCTTTAGTTTCCTGTTAATTTTTATTTGGATTTTGGTTAAGGACAATGTTTCATTTATTTTTTGTTAACACTGCCATAGCCATAATCATAATCATTCTTTGTTGCCATTCAACGATATTCTTACCAAAAATGTATTACCCTTACCAACCTCAAAAATCATTTATAAGATAGTAAAATCATTTTGTTTCAGGACCAACAAGAATGTTGATCCAATAACTTGTCATTCTTATATATTTAATGCATTCCTGATGATATTTAATTAATCTGTCCTTATTTGTAGATTTCCACGGCCACTGTCAGCATTGTCATCACAGACGTTAATGACAACGATCCCAGCTTCGACCTCACTCTACTCAGAAACCTGACCGTGAGGGAGGAAGAGGCCAATGTGTTCGTGGGTCAAGTCAGGGTGAGTTCCATGACAAAACATATCGATGACGTATCTTTATTTTGGTGAGTTTCGTGAGGTTCCCACATGCCGCCCCTTCAACTGTCATGCCGCACAGATCTTCAGACATCACTTTGTATTGTTCTCTAATTAAGTCATGGTAAATTAGAGTCATTAGTCACCTTACAGTCAGTCCCTGATGACTGCTTCTGTTCCGCCCTGCCAAGCGGTTGAAATTTTAATTAGCGTGTTTGATTAATCATGCTTTGGTTGGTTAGAAAGATAATCAATGAAAGATGTGTCAGGCTTTCATTCACAATGCTGTGTTGTGATCACGTGTCTCTTTACCGCTCATTTGTTGCTCTGTGATGTCTTGATCACTGAGTTCGGTGCCGATGTGATTGACAGGCATAAGATGATGCGACAGTGCCTTTGTGCATCAATAAAATTGCGACTGAAATCATTTAGTGCGGGTTGACCTCATGTGGCATGATACTGTTTTCCAGAAGTAACAACTAAACAAATGAAATTTAGTTTTTTTGTACAAGTTGGATCTTTCCCTATGAACTGTTGTCTTTGTTTTTTCATCGTCTTTCTTTTCATTTCATGTTTTTTGTACACTCTAAAAAATGCTGAGTTGTTTCAACCCAATGTTGGGTCAAATATGGACTAACCCAACTGTTGGGTTAAATTTTGGTTACATTTTTAAATTAACTTTTTAACCCAACAGTTGGGTTAGTCCATATTTGACCCAACATTGGGTTGAAACAACCCAGCATTTTTTAGAGTGTAGGTTTATAAGCACAAACTAACTAAAAAGTCCTACCTAAATGATGTGCAAAAACCTTCATCTAGACATAATTAATAGTTGCGTAAATGCTTTTTCATTTAAATTGTATTGCTTTTAGATTTTATTTTATTTATTATCTCTCTTTCCAGTTTAGTTTTTGTTTTCATTCATTTATTTATTCATGTTTTAGCTTTAGTGTTTTAGGGCTGCAAACGTAAATGTCAAACTGGTATCATTAAAATATTAAATGGAATAAAAAAATTTCAGCACAGCGTAGTGTTATTGCTTTTTAGTGTCTTAAAACCACATTAAAAAATAATATATATATTTTTTAATAAACTAAAATTTATTGTGATTTTTATTTCTATTTTATTATGATTACTTTGTCTTTCCAATTTAGTTTAGTTTCTGTTTTAGTTAGGCTGGTTCTTAAGCTGTCAATATAAAATACCATTTGTCATTTTTATTTTGTATTTTATTTTATCATTTGTTTATGTTTAATGAATTAATGTTTTAATGAATAAATAGTTTGTTTTTTTTTAACTAAGATTAAATTGAGTACAATTTTAATTCAATCACAGAGTCATGAGTTTAGTATGAATAAAACTGCCATTGAAATGATTTAGTGCGTGCTGTCCTCATATGGCATCATATTGTATTTGAGAAGTAATTAAACAGCTAAAAATTATTTTTTTGGATGTTGCTCAAGTTGGATCTCTCCCTCTGAGCTGTTCTCTCACTTTCCATCATCTTTCTTTTCATTTCATCATCCTCTCATGTTCTGTGTAGTCTGCCATGTTCACAACAAGCAGGTGCTCACCAAACTTTGAGGCCTTGCTCTCAAATTCACACACAGATCCCCGTGGAGATCAAAAACACCTGGATTCTTATTGTGCTGTGACAACAAACAAGCGTATGCATACGGACACTTACTTCACACATCACAGATGCACATCAGTGTGTTCCCACTCTATAGACACTTACAGCCATGTTGTTTGCCACAGGCTAACATGTCCAAAAGCCTTAAGATACTATTCACGCTGAGAGCTTCGAGCATTCTACAAAACAACCCATTTTAATAGACATTTTCACCTTGGGGACAAAATCTGTCTGTATATTATATTATATTATATTATATTACAGTTCAAATTGGTATTTTATATTACATTAAAAAAAAATACATATACAATGTATCAAATAAATGCTGTTCTTTGGACTTTCTGTTGATCAAAGATTCCTGAAAAAAGGTATGATTGTTTTTAACAAAAATAATAAGCAGCAAAATCATCTTTTGGTATGCAATCTATGAAGATTGCAACTGAATCATTCTCAGTGAACCAACTTCTCTGTAATATGAAATGTTATATAATAAATATATGAAAGAATGAATAAATAAATAAATCTATGAATAATTGAATGAATGAATAAATAAACACTACCATTCACAAAACTGAGGTCAGTAAATTGTTTTATGAAATTAATACTTTTATTCAGTAAATTAAGTGACAGTAAAGACGTTTTTAATGTTTCAAATGATTTATATTTCAAATAAATGTTCTTTTGAGCCTTCTATTCAAAGAACCCTAAAATAAAAATTCACGACTTCCACAAAGACATTAAGCAACGCAACTGTTTTCGACATTGATAATATAAAAAATGATTCTATGAGCAACAAATCAGCATATTAGAATGATTTCTGAAGGATCATGTGACAGAAGACTGGAGTAATGATGCTGAAAATTCAGCTGTGCATCACAGGAATAAATTACATTTTAAAATAGATTCACATAGAAAAACGTTTTTACTAAATTTTTTGATCCAATAAATGTAGCCTTGCTGAACATAAGAGACTTGTTTCAAAACTGAAAAATCTTACAGAAATTAACTTTATATATATATCGATTGTTTCATTTTTAGAATCTGATTGATGAATATTGCACTATTCCGGTTATATAATGTAATAAGTATTTGATGTGCTATATTCCACCTAATATTTTAAACGGCATTTTGCGCATTCTTTCATATTTATTATACATGCATCTTTTATGAGCTTTAGTGTTTGACTGTAAATAAACTAAATATACTTTTAAAGATTCATTTGTCATTTAAAATGAATAGCGAAGGCAAAAAAGGTGAATCAAAACTTATAATAATTGGTGAAATGTTTGATGGAATAGCAGTCAGCAGTGACATTAGGAAACAGGTTTTTATTAATGTATTGTGTAGTGTTGTTTGTTTATTTATCGCTCTGTTTACATATTCATTCCATTAGTTAATTATTGAGGTGAGCAGATGCCATGTAAGTGTGCTGTCAGGACGTACTGCTGGTGAGAGGGCCACGGGCAGCACTTTCATTCCTCAGCGCTCAGATGTGGCTGTAATTTCTGAAGGCTCAGACATGCTCTTTTCATTTCACTTATTTCCATTCGCCCACGTTTGGATTTTGGCCCTTCATCCCATCATCTTCCTGTCCCTCCTCTCATCTCTCTCTCTCTCTTCTCCCAGAGTCTGTGTCGTTCATGTCTCTAACCAGGCATGCTTCTCTAATAACCCCCCCACCCAGTTATTCTTCCCATCTGCATCTGTAATTACTACAGGAAGGAATTATAGCAGGCACCTCTGAAGCCATTACAGCCGAGCTCTGCTCCCCTGCTCACATACAAATGAGCCGCTGTAACCACGCAGGAATTATGATTAGTTTAGCAAGTCTTTATTTCTTTGCTCTAAAGAACTGGCTGCAATTATTATTATTATTAATATTATTATTATTATTATCAGTAGTAGTAGTAGTAGTAGTATTCTTTATTTTATTTATTTTTCCATTATAAAGGCTGTGCTGTGGGTGCTTGGTAAAGGTGAAACCAAAATTAAATATATCCCCGATTTGAGTAACTTTATATCATAATAACAATATATAGTTGTCGTAATGGAGTATATAAATTGAAGGTATTTTTTTTTTTTTACGTTTTTGAAAGTTTCTCATGTTGAGCAAGACTACAAAAATGCAGTGCAAACAATAATATTGTGAAATATTATTTTAATTTAATATATTTGAATATATTTTGAAAATATTTTTTGTGGAAACTGTGATATATTTTTGAGAGTTATTTGATCAATAGAAAGTTCAAAGTAACAGCATTTATCTGTTATCTTCTATAACATGTCTTTATTGTCACTTCTGATCTTTTTTTCTCATCACTTCTGCATTTTTACTGATTAAATGTATTTAAAAGAAGCATAATTGTAAAAAAACAACAACATACTGACTCAAAACTTTATTTATTTATTTATATTACACATTACAGATAAGGTGATTATGTGACTGTGGCAAACTAACTTATTGGATGCAAACCAAAAGAGTATTTTAATCAAGTTGATTCAAATAACTAAAACTGCTGAATATACATTATAAATATCAAATTCATGAGTGCATGTCTCTGTTTTCAGGCCACCGATCCTGATGCCGGGCTCAATGGTCAGATCCGGTACCGTTTGCTCTCCTTTGCATCTCTGTTCACCATAAACGCCACGGGCAGCATCTTCACTGCGGTGCCGCTGGACCGAGAGACTCGGAGCCGGTACGATCTGATCGTGGAGGCGTCAGATGGAGCGGTGAACCCTCGCAGGGCCACCATCACACTGTTGGTGGAGGTGACAGACATCAATGACAACAGCCCTGTGTTTTCCCAGCCCATCTACACCGTCAACGTCCCAGAAAACACCCCCGCTGGAACCGTCATCCTGAGACTCAGTGTAAGTGCTTGGCTCATCCATAGCTCAGCGTTCTTGTTGTGTAGTTCTCTCATATCTGAATACTTCACAATTTTACGTTGCTGAGTGGCATAAGCTGTTGAGAAAGTTAAAGGTGAACTGCAAAATTTCTGTCTGCGTTTGACCCGGGCATCTAACCTGAAAGGAAGGAAAAGCAGATTGTTTGTGGGTGTGTTTACTTATGTGTCTGTCTATCTGTGTTTTGTCTGCTGGCCTGAGAGTAACTGGCTGATTATGTGTGTTTAGTTTCCCTTGAGAGTGTGGGGGGAAAACGTCTCTGCGTTTCCCTGTTTATTCCTGACGGGCTGCATATTTAACTAGATAAATATTGACACTCTTGACAGACCCAGTGTGAAAAGCAGGAGATGCTGTCTTGTGGTAAATGTGCCTCTAAATGATCACGCTCTTGGGAGCTTTAGCAGAACGCCAACGTAACAACACAATCACCAATGAATTTTACATAAACTAGAGACAAATATGAGCAAAAAGTCTGAGAGACGAACTCAGTAAACTGTTACGCCACTTTAATGTGCAAAACTCTGTCTTATTTGGAGATCATTTGCAGTCCAACTTTAAGGGATAGTTTAGCCAAACATGAAAGTACTGTCATCATGTCGTCTCAAAATATAATATCAATAGGGTACAGTGTTGCCTGGATATCAGTTATGGTTATGGTTAGTCTTAATGTTTTAGTTCATGGTCTGAAAATGTTACCGTTTGCCATAGATGTACATTTGGTTAATATAAAAGGTTAAAAGAAAAGGGTAATATACTAGTAAATAAATGTCTGGTTTCTGAAATTAATTATCAGAATGCAAATTAAGTAATTGAGTAACTCAAATATGTGTGTTGCATCAAAGCATTTAAAGAAATATCATGCATGTCAACTGATCCCTGTACTTGCATTCATCTTTCCCTTGATTGCAACCAGTCGTCCTGTCCCTGCAGCTGAAAAACACCCCCACAGCATGATGCTGCCACCACCATACTTCCCTGTTGGGACTGTATTGGACAGGTGATGAGCAGTGCCTGGTTTTCTTCACACATACCGCTTAGAATTAAGGCCAAAAAGTTCTATCTTGGCCTCATCCGACCAGATAATCTTATTTCTCACCATCTTGGAGTCCTTCAGGTGTTTTTTCATGTGTCTTGCACTGAGGAGAGGCTTTTGTCGGGCCACTCTGCCATAAAGCCCCGACTGGTGGAGGGCTGCAGTGATGGTTGACTTTCTACAACTTTCTCCCATCTCCCGACTGCATCTCTGGAGCTCAGCCACAGTGATCTTTGGGTTCTTCTTTACCTCTCTCACCAAGGCTCTTCTCCCCCGATAGCTCAGTTTGGCTGGACGGCCAGCTCTAGGAAGGGTTCTGGTCGTCCCAAACGTCTTCCGTTTAAGGAATGGAGGCCACTGTGCTCTTGGGGACCTTAAGTGCAGCAGAAATTTTTTTGTAGCCTTGGCCAGATCTGTGCCTTGCCACAATTCTGTCTCTGAGCTCTTCAGGCAGTTCCTTTGACCTCATGATTCTCATTTGCTCTGACATGCACTGTGAGCTGTAAGGTCTTATATAGACAGGTGTGTGGCTTTCCTAATCAAGTCCAATCAGTATAATCAAACACAGCTGGACTCAAATGAAGGTGTAGAACCATCTCAAGGATGATCAGAAGAAATGGACAGCACCTGAGTTAAATATATGAGTGTCACAGCAAAGGGTCTGAATACTTAGGACCATGTAATATTTCAGTTTTTCTTTTTTAATAAATCTGCAAAAATGTCAACAATTCTGTGTTTTTCTGTCAATATGGGGTGCTGTGTGTACATTAATGAGGAAAAAAAATTAACTTAAATGATTTTAGCAAATGGCTGCAATATAACAAAGAGTGAAAAATTTAATACTTTCCGTACCCACTGTAATTGAGCACCAAATATTGAACACGTATTGTTTTAACGACATATGTGTGTAGATGTGGCCATATATACAGTATGTGTGTAATTTGGCCTAAAACAACATGTTCAGATACCAACACTATCAGCAGGCACAATTGAAAAAAAGTGAATTCCTGTTTTAGATTCAGATTGAAGGAAAAATAAGGTTTTGTGTGTGTGTGTGTGTGCACGGTCGGTGGATGAGGGGCAAATGAGTGACACTGTTTGAAGACAGTGATCTTGCTGCTTTATTTTTATCTCAGTGTGTCTGACACCTTTGGGTCCCCATAGCACTGGCTGGTGTCAGAGCGCCGTGGGTCCTAGTGACAGAATCTGGTCCGGGGCTGATCAACTAATCAGATTCCCTGTGCTGCTTCTCTCTGGGGTTTCTGAGCTTTATTTATATACATCTGAAACCTTTGAGATCAGTGTAGAATTTAATTCCTTGTGCCTCTCACATCAAAGAAAGACACCTGAAAGGTTCCCACACCCACAGAGACACAGAGCTCCTCAGAGCGCCTCTCAGCTGCTGTCTGTTAGCTTTCACTCCTAATCAGCTTCAGATGCACATGCACGTGGAACGCAACTATGACTCTGTGTGCTTAACATGTGCAGTGGCCCCAAAATATATCTGGACACCTGAGACACACTTAAAAATGTAGAAATGTCAGTGCACTATACTTTATAACAAAATACAAAAAAAAGGATATTTCAAACACACTTTTCAAGTAAAACATTTTACACCATGATGTTGAAAAGTCATAATGCATTTGGAAAAATGCCCAGTATAGTTTGGACTAAATATCTTGTCATCTAATGCAGTGACATTAAATCAGATGAAATGCAGTGCGATCAATGAAATCAAAATTGGCCCATTTTTACTTGCTTAATGCATGTTTATGGTCTAATTGTGCATAATTCGGCAGTGCACATTATTGCAAATAGTTCTGTTTATTAATCTGTTTATTTTTTAAATGTATTTTATTCAATTATTTTTTTATTGGCAAGACTAGTTAGATGTCCACACACTGAAAATACAGCTTTGGGTTTTGGATGTGCACATCTAATTTATTTATTTATTTTTTATTAAAACTTAAATATTCAACAACAATACAATATTACAGAGGAGTTTATTCAGATTATTGTTGGACTTTAAGTCTTAATAAAAAAAAGAATACTAAATAGGTTTGCACATACAAAAACCATAGCTGTAATTAATTTTTTTTTATATATATATACTCTTGCCGATAAAAACATCTAACTTGTATTACTTGCCTCAATTCTGGTATGTAACAGCAACATTCCACAATCCAGACAATTCTCAAATCATTTTTTTAAGTTCAATTTTCATTTTCACTCAAAAATAAGCCTGGTTACAGAAGTGAAATGAGTTATGAACAACATTTCATGTTGTCCATGAGGCCACCATTTAAGATCTCTCATGTCATCTGATCGGCCAGTGGTCAGCTGAGATGGTCCAATCAGCAATGGCCCTGACCAACTATATTTACCCTTATTTTGTTGTCATTCCAAACCTGTATGTCTTTCTTTCTTCTGTGGAGAGGATATGGGTTGAGAATATGATGATGGAATTTAAATTTTCAGGTTTGCTGTCCCTTTAAGAAACTTTTAGGCTGCTTTATTCCTGCAGTATCTTGCAAAGTGTGGGATCATTAATTCTCTTTTTTTAACCTTTATTCTCTCTGTACTCTTTCCTCTGTGTCTCTCAGGCGGAGGATGCCGATCTCGTCTCTAACGTGACCTACAGAATAAAAACAGAAGCAGCTCAGCAGCTCTTCGCCGTGAACCGTCTGACCGGCGCCGTATCAGTCCTGCAGGCGCTAGACTTTGAGGACTTGCCAGCAGGCAACAGCACCTACACATTTGAAGTGGAGGTGTTAGATCACGGAGGAGTCCTTCCTCCTGGAACGGCCACAGTCATCGTTAGAATCACGGTAGGGCCGCTAAGAGCGCTCATCAGCTTTAAAAAACTCTGTTTTATCACACCAGTCTCAGTGGCAGCACGAGAAACTCTCTTCCTGAGTGTTCTGCAAGTTCCGGTCGGAGATGGTTTGAACTTGGGGAAAGGAAGCCAATTTTCATCAGGTCTAGTGAAGGTGATTGGATTAGATCTTTCAAAGCTCGTCCACAGTGTCTACGTGCTAACGCTTCTCGCAGAAGCTCCGCTGACTCTGTTCCAGTAATGCCTACAAAAGATTTGATCTCTGAATTCAATTAGTCTTGAAAGAGAAACCTCTGTGTTGGCAGGATTGTGGGCGTTGTTTACTGGATCCTCGCCTGCGTTCACCTGCTTTCCCCGTTGTGATATTTCTGGTTGACGGTGACAGGAGTGACAGACAAAGCTAGATTCTGATGCTAGCCTGGCACAGCTATTTCAGGCCTGAATGACTCATTAGCTTTGTGACTGCAATTATGTGAGGATTTTAGCGCGAGTGCTCTCCATCGCCTCCGAAGATTAGCCGGGGGATCAGAACAGAAGGATTAGCCTCCTCCAGTTTACAGCAGCTGGAGCGAGCGAGTGATGAAAAATTAACTTGAAATTCATGTAAAAAGTTCCATTTTTAATTATGTAAATCTGATAGAAATTTAACTTTATTTTTGTAGGTAACATCAGTAAATGCCTGAAAAAACACACAGACTTGAATCACACCTTTTTGTGTTTTGGCTAGAGAGAGCGACCGACCCAAACAAGGTCGTTCCACACAAGTCCTGCAAGCGGCCGCCAATGGCTCATTAAATCAGTTTTGCTTCCTTTGATCACTCCAGTCCGTACTTGCCAAACTGTGGGAAGTCCAGAGCAAATGCATGCAAATGAGCATCGAACCCACCTCGCTGCAGGGTCGCTTGCATTTATCAGAATAATCTGTGCTTCTTAAGTTTAAGTTCAAAAGATGCCATTTAACAAATTTAAGATGTGCTTCTTTTGTGTTTTTGGACATTAATTTAGGGATTCAGTGTATAAATAATTATGATTACAATTTAATGTTAAATGCAATTAATTATTTACATTTTGTATTTCATAATCAATGTTATTTTAGTATTATACTTTTTAATATACTTTTATTTTAATATTTTCAATTTCATTCAAATAATTTTTGTCATTTTTGTTATGTGCTTTTGTCATTTTTTTACTAGTAGCATTAAGGTTGCCTTTATTTTTATTTTAGTTTTATAGCTCTTTTTAGTTATGTATTTCCAGTAAGTAATTTTAGTGCTTTCAATAGTTTCGTTTTTTGTTTTTTTTTATCTAATATATATATATTTTAATTATTTTCGGTTTAATTTCAATTAACACAAATGTTTTTTCATTGTTTTTTTTTTATTAGGTTCGAATCTCAGCATTTAAATAATCAATAACTAGATATTAAAATTCTGTTATTGTTAGTTCATGATAACATATTAAATCATTTTAATGCAGCCCATAAGAAACGTAAGTTGTTACTCAAGAACAGCTTTTTGCATGCTTTCAGAAACAGTGCTTAAATAATGGATAATTTTGACTTTTAAATTCTGATTGACTGATCTGCATGGCCTCTCGTGGCTTATGTCAATTTTATTTTCTATTATTAGACAGTTTTAGAGATCAAATAATAAGCTTTTTTGACCTAATAATTCATGGAAGTTATCAGCAGTATGTGGCACGTAGATTTTGGGTTCAAAGATTGTTTCTCTTATTAAAGTGTGTGTTTATAGATCACGGTGACTTATTTCTTATGAGATTAAATTAAACCCCCAGAGATTTTCATGATCTTTGCAGTGAGTGTTTTGTTGGGATGTGAAAAACAAAGCAGTGAATTGTGGTTTTGCTGCTGCTCTCTTCAGATGTGCCTTGAATCTTGAGTTTCTTGCGTTTCGCAGTGATCTTTACCTTCAACTTAGCAAAGTTTGCACCCTGTTAGTTTTGCTGTAATGGAGATGGTGTAACAAATTGTAATGATGCTTGAGCTGAGGTGAAGGCAATATTATTAATGTCAGGGTAGAGTCATCATAGCTGGGCTTATGGAAGATTTCGAAGGTCTTGCAGTGTGTGTGTGTGTATATACCAATTGAGGTTTCATTTTCATTGCTGTTAGGCTGTGTACACTGTTATGTATACACACACGTAGTACACATAGTGTGTGTATTTGTGTGTGTGTGTATAGATAGATAGATAGATTGCATATATAGACATTCTTGTGTATGTATGTGTATGAATATATATATAAACCTAAATAATAATATTAAAAACCAAAAATGAATAAAAATGACAAAAGCACATAATATTACTGTAAATTAAGCTAATATAAACACACACACACTAACATTTGGAATAATTTATATTCTTTACATTTTTCTGTCTTATGCTCACTTAGGCTGCATTTATTTGATAAATAATATAGTAAAAATGAATTACATACAATAAATCAATAATTTGCATTAGCTTCTATTTTTATATGTTCAGTTTTTTTTATTTTGACTTAATTTACACTAATAGTATGTGCTTTTGTCATTTTTATTCATTTTTTATTTTTTATATAAGTATTTAGGTTTATATACATCTATTCATCTATCTATCTACACACACACACACACAAAACCTGTGTACTACATGTGTATATAACAGTGTATATATGTAAAAACCTAAGTAAGCTCAGTGAGTGTGCATCATTTTAAACATACTTGTGTCAAAAGTACAACTTATTTTTTTTTATATGTAAACATTTGAAATATTACATGGACAAACTATAAGTCATTACACTGTTTTTGCAGCCTATTTTCCATTATGTGCATAGTGTATAATAAAGTAATGTTTGATTTCATGTTGACTTTAAAACACCTTGAAAGAACATGTAAAGTGCTCTTTGATAGTGCTAGTGGTCGGTGGGGATAGACAGCAGCGTCCATAAGCTGATTAATACTCTATTTATTATCATGTCACTCCTCATTAAAGTGGAGACAGCAGACAGAACAGAATCACTTTGCCAGCGGGCCTTGCTTACCTCAGTCCTGCTTTAATGAGTGTTATTAATACATCTTTCATCCATGTTTCTGTCTATGGGTTCTTTCAGGATGTGAATGACTTCTCCCCAGTCTTCAGACAGGCACTTTATAAAGGGCTGGTGGCTCCAAATGCAGAGAAAGGGACAGTCATCACAACTGTGCTTGCAGAAGATCAAGACCCTCCAGTAAGTACACAAAGCCCAAATGAAATACACTTCTGTGATCTCTGACTCATTCTTAAATTATATTTTGTACTCCATTTTTATATGATTTTAAAATAAATAATAAAACCACAGAATAACCCGGGGTTTGAGTGGGGAGTTGCTATGGTTAGGTATTTGAATATGTATGGATTATTTCAAGTTAGATATTTGAAATGTGTCTTAAATGAAATGTGGGGCCAGTACTGCATATTCAAGGTCAAGTCAGGTCTCTGCAAATTTAAGATGATTAATTGAATGCAATATTGTTTGGGGTCAGTAACATTTAAAAATAAAAATACTTTTATCTGGCAAGGATGCATTAAATTGATCAAAAGAGACAGTAAACACATTTATAATGTTATAAAAGAGTTTAAAGATTTCAAATAAATGGTGTTGGTCTTTTGAACTTTCTATTCATCAAAGAATCCTATTAAGCAAAGCAACCGTTTTCAACATTGATAATAATAATACATGCTTCTTGAGCATGTATCAGCATATTAGAATAATTTCTAAAAGATCAAGTGACACTGAAGACTGATGCTGAAATTCAGCTTTGACATTACAGGAATAAATTAAATTTTAAAGTAAATTAACACAGAAAACAGTTGTTTAAATTATAATAATATTTCACAATATTACATTTTTCACTGTATTTTTTATCAAATAAATGCAGCCTTTGTGGTAATAACAAACTTCTTTAAAAACATACTGACCCCAAACGTTTGTATATATACAATGATGAATGTTAAAAAGGAAAATATGTATTATTTATTATTATTTAAATGTTTAATTATTAATGCAATTAAATATTAATTAACTTTTTTAAAATATTTTATTTATATTCAATTCTAATAAATTAAGTTGTATTATTTATAGTAATTATATTTGTTATAATTAATTACGATATACTAAATATACAAAAAAAAGAAAAAGAAAATATTTAAATAAAATACATTTTATTAAAAGTTCGAAATAAAAAGTACTTATGTATGTTATAAATGTATGTTACATTTTTATTGTAATGTAAAATCAAATTCCTTTAAATCTACATGCTTTTTTAATGTATTCCAATGTAAACACTAGCAAATTATGGCCCTGGCAAGGATAGGTGTTACATATAACTAAACGTTTGGGAGCAGTTGCTTAAGGTTAGCTAGAGTTAAGACTAGTTAGTACATTAATGCATTTGAATGCATGATTTCATCCCTGGTCTCTTTTGAATTTCTTCATCTAAAGTATTTATATACTGTATTGTTATATTACTGCGTATGAGAGTTTAGTTTCCCGCTAGCGTACCTGTTTACATGTCCCTCCATTAACATGTAGTCTGCTGTTGTGGATAATCGGTTTGTTCTGCGCTGTCACTCTCTCTCTCTGTATCTTTATTTGATTGATCTGACAGAGCCGTTTTACGTTTACCATCTGGAGACCGGCCTCTCTCTCGGTCTGTCGCTCACTAGACGACTCCGAAATGAAATTACACACAACGACACAGAAATTTTTACACCGTGGTGAATCTGGAAATGATTTTTTGTGCTTTCATCACAGAGTGGAAATATTTATTGGGCTTTAGAATGCAGCCCAGCACGCTTCTGCAACTTTTACAGCTGGAGGGAAGCGCAAGGCCATTACAGTATAGCAAAGACACATCTCTTATTACCTTATAAATTACATAAACAAGGTTATTCGCTGCCTGAGGTTTGGTTTATTCAGAGTGGCAGCGCACGCCAGGGGCTGGATATGCACTGAATGCCTGTAAATGTTTATCATCCACAGACTGTAAAACACAAAGATGTTTTGTGGGTTTTTGAGTCTCTATATGCAGTGTGGACGTGGTGTTAAAAGACTTTATTGGTTGTAAGTAACTCTAGAACACAGTGGCAAAAGTTTCAAAGACGTCTGAATGTAGTTAATTTGTAAAAGTAGTTTTAAAGTGTGTTAATTTGTCTGTTACATCTGCCAAACTTCACAAACAGCTTTACAGCCTCACTTTTTTTTGTGGCCAATTTTGGTTCCGTCACTTTCATCCAAAGGGAAACAAAGCTTGCAGCAATGGTGTCAGTTATACAGAGGAAGCGTTTTCAGTTGGTCTTCAGGAATGGCCTTTTCATTAGTGGGTGTTAAAATGAACAGCGATGTTGCTGTTGAAATTTGTAGCTTTTAATGTTTAGCTGCATGGTTGCTGCAGTTGTCACAGGCTCATGAGCTTTAGTTGGAGCCGGTGACGGTACATTCAAGGGAACAGCAGGAGTGCTGGAATCACATTTTAGCCCACGTCTTAGTCAGTCGAACATTGAGTGATGTTACAATATTGCCTTCAATACGCTCATAAAAGTGCATATATTGCACTTATAAATTGATTATATACACATTACTGTTTAAAAGTTTGGGGTCTGTAAGATGTGAGAAAAAAAAGACCACCGTGTAATTCTTTACTCACTGAAAATCTTCCTCTCAAATCATTCAGATCACTATCAGTGCAGACACAAAAGAACCAACAACAATGGCATCACTGACGTCAAACCTCATGCCACGGCACATCTGAATAAATGTGGATACGAATAAGCTTTGAGACATGAGGACAAGATTTTCAGTGAATAACGATAAGTGTTTTTACATGACAGGACGAGTCCTGACAGCAGGTGAGTGAGGACACTGAAGGGTGTTTGAGGTGACTCTGAATCGGGATCCTGTGTGCTTACATCACCGTAGGGGACAGGAGTGTGTCAGAGAGAGGTGTGTGCTGCTGGGAGTCTCTGACACACAGCTTAACCTGAAGGACAGAGACACAACGCTGTCTGACTCTGAAAGGTTTTGAGGTTTTATTTTATTATTTTTTCTTTTTTCTTTCAAGAATGCTGACAATACCAAAGAGACGAAACAGTCTATGTGTCATAATAGTTAAAATCCAAAAATTATTATTTACTTTTTCTAAAATATTTGTGTGTATGCATCTTAGTATTTTCGAAAAAATTTGGGAAAAGTAAGATTTTACTTTTTTTTTTTAAATGTTTAAAAACAATTACATGCCAAGTGTCCTTTATAGAAATATATATTAGCTGGATAATTTATTGTTACATATAAATAACATTAGAAAATATTAATAAAAAAAATAATATGTATTAAATAATCTTAACTTTTAAAAGTATATAATGTTTTATTCATTTTATTATTATATTATATATAATAATATAATGTATGTTTTTAAAATAAAAATATTGTAAAGAGATGCTAATTAAAATAAATTTGTTTAGTTTACTAGTATTTTTCAGTAATGTTCATTTTTATGTTTTATTTCTGTTAACACATTTTTAGGCATTGTTTGCCACCATGGATGCTGTGTGAGGTTTTATTTTATTCTTTTTTCTTTTTTCTTTCAAGAATGCTGACAATACCAAAGAGACGAAACAGTCTATGTGTCATAATAGTTAAAATCCAAAAATTATTATTTACTTTTTCTAAAATATTTGTGTGTATGCATCTTAGTATTTTCGAAAAAATTTGGGAAAAGTAAGATTTTACTTTTTTTTTAAAAATGTTTAAAAACAATTACATGCCAAGTGTCCTTTATAGAAATATATATTAGCTGGATAATTTATTGTTACATATAAATAACATTAGAAAATATTAATAAAAAAAATAATATATATTAAATAATCTTAACTTTTAAAAGTATATAATGTTTTATTCATTTTATTATTATATTATATATAATAATATAATGTATGTTTTTAAAATAAAAATATTGTAAAGAGATGCTAATTAAAATAAATTTGTTTAGTTTACTAGTATTTTTCAGTAATGTTCATTTTTATGTTTTATTTCTGTTAACACATTTTTAGGCATTGTTTGCCACCATGGATGCTGTGTTTTAGCAGACTGTGTCAAGCATAAAATAGCTGTAAAATGGTTTCTTGAAACTGTTCATTGTGTGTTTTTTAACTCCAGGATTTGAATTCAAGAACTGTAAAATATTCTTTACATTTCAAGCTTGAATTTAGGATAAATTTCAAAATGTTGCTAAAAAAAATAGACACATTTTTTCATGTTTGCCTCCACTGACCTGACCGAAATCCTTATTGTTGAGCCCGGAGCGCACTCATATTTTATTCTCGCAAGGTTACACATCTACAGATCGCAGCAAGTTTTGCAAAAAATTATAAGAGGACGGCCTTATGACTGGGATGCGTTTGTGAATTTCTTAAGGCTGTGTTTTGTGCATGTGTGTGTTTGTGTGGCAAGTTCGTTTTTATTTTGATGTCTTGGAAGAAAGGTTTTTTTTGATGACCCTGGAAGCCCCACTGAAATACCAGATTCATCATTCCGGTTGTGTTGTGAATCACCATGGAGACTTGGAGCGGCTCAATCTCTGTCTCTCTCAGGCATGACTGGAATTAAAGTCGGATAATTCTTACTTTTAAAATCCACTTCTAGGAAGCGACCTTGAAAGGAAAAGTGTGCTGCAGAACAAGGACAGGAAGTGACCGTCCTCATTAGGGTCCTGCTCAAACATCGATGATTACAGTATGAGCAGCGCTGCGTTTCCAGCCCACACCGGCGAATGAGATAATGACACTGTATTTATATGCACGGCTGCAAAGGTCACTGGGTAATGAAAGCTCCTCCTTTGCCTTTCTGCTGGTTGAACCTCATGTCCTGAGCATTGACTTCCTTTTATTTGAAAAGATTTAAAGGGATGAGTAATGAACTTCCATCCTTGAAGTGTCACTACAGTGCAGAAGAACCAGCCATTAATCATACCACCAGAGCATGAATACAATCACCAGACAGAAATTTTACGTGTCCTGCTAATGTGACTGACTCGCATTTGAGTGCTGACAGTGGCACCTGTTGAAAGTGACTCATGAATGTCAAACATTAAACAGTTAACTGATGTTATTCCGTATTAGCAGGAGCAAGGCCTGTCTAATTTGATGGCTTAACCCAGAAGAAATGCTTCCTTTTAATTTTGTTAAGGATAACTGTACTCTCTAGGGCTTAGTATCCACAATATTAAGTAATCAATATTACGAACATCATTACTTAAAAAAAAAAAATGCATACTGGACAAAAGTTTAAAACAAGCAATTAATTAATTATTTCAACAGTTAAGCCTGTTTTTTAAGTCATACTCAAAGCTGCATTTGACCAAAAATGCAGTAAATCTTTATTATTGTAAAATAAAAAAATACAATATTTTTCTATTGTAATATTGTCACGCTTGTGTTGTCGGAAGGAAGATGAAGACAGGAGGTGCAATTCAAAACTCTCTTCGTTTAATGAACAAACTTCAAACACAGGCAGAATGGCGAAGGGTAGCACAACTAAAAAGAGTGACTAGCTATGTTTCCATCACCATGTCGCATTTTGAAGTACCGCATGAGAAACGAGTGATGGAAACACCAAATTTCGAAAAAGAAATCCCTTAATTCGCAAAAAAGTTTTTACGGTCACTTGAGGTGGTTTTTGACTTTGGAAAAAGGGTTAATGCGAATAATGGGAGATGGAAACGCATTTTGCGAATAAATCCCGCATGAGCGTTCAAAAAAGTCATGTGACATAACCTGACTAACCAGCGGACCGATTTAGTTGCACAGCATCTAAAATGTTGTCATGGTCATTCTGAAGTGCCCGAGCAAAGTCTGTCGTCAAAGTATTTCTGTATAACTGCCTCCCAGAACGGTCTACCACGACTGCGTTCCCAAACAGCTGACATTCACCTCCGAAAGCAAGACTGCATTTATTGTGTTTCGTCTGCTCACTCAAAGCGCAAGTAATTTATTATATTTGAGAATTATTCATAATTACTTTTCTTAGTGATATTTAGTGCCAGTTTATCAGGAAGTGACGATTTTGTTCTCTCTGACTCGTTGGATGGAAACAGTGCTTGTCCGCAAATGTTTTATGCGATATTCTAATTTTGCGCACAAGTTAAATTTCCAACTTTGGATGGAAACCCGGCTTGTGTGGGAGCAACTTAAATGCATAGACAAACAAGGATAATTAACTAGAAACAGGTGAAGGAGGTAAACTAATCAAGGCTGAACAAGACCAGGAACAGAACCAAATAAGGGCCCACAGGAACTAAACCAAAACAAAAGACAGAAACATGGGGCCCGTTCTTCGTATATGTCGCTAACTCAGTTAGCTGGATTTGAATGTTGATGATTTGGCATGATCTTGGATTGTTTGGTTCTTCGAAGCTCATCCCGGAGTTGCTGTCATAGCAACAGATCTGTAAGCTTAAACCTGCTCGGGAGCAGGCTTATTTCATGTAAACAGGATTAGATTGCATCTTTTTAAGCAGAATTAATACTCAAAATCTGACTGCTACCACTGCTACTTTATTACAAGAATACCCTACTAATCCAGGGACAATAATTTAAAATAATAATAATTTAAAAATTAGTTTAAAGATAATATAATAATGTTGTGTAGTCTTTAATACTATAGACACCGCCAGTTTTACTCACTGAAAGATTTATTCGTCATAAAATGATTACTTCATAGTTGTATTCGAGTCTTACACGCATGCTGTACAGATAATGTTGAGTCGTGCATTAATTTGAGTTCTGACAGCTATTATGGGAGTGGCTTGTTGGAGCGCAGGAGATGCGGATAACATGATCTTGACCTTAAGAAACTTTAATTAATGCTGTCACGTAACAAATCTGTACAAGTATAAAATTAAATGAATTGCTAATTGCTACATTGAAATAAAAATGTAAAGCCTGCACAAATATTAGAAATCGTGAATATAAATAATTGGGAATCATGTAAAAAAAAATTAATAAAATAAAAACAGTGCACATTTCATTTATCTATTATAACATTTGTGTAGTTTTGTTCGCTTGGCTGTTTCCTTATAAAAGTCCCAAAATTTGTCAAGTTTTTCATCAGGTGTCTTTTTTAATTATATGATGTCATTACGTTGCTGTCTTGCCACCAACAAATCGCTGCAGTGCTGATCGTGGTTTCGAATATCGATACATAACCCCTTTTAAACCAACTCATGAACGCGCAATTATCTCAGATAACTCAATCCAGCCATACTAATCATCAACAACAGGTGCGTTCGAAGAACCGAATTAGCCAGATCCTGAATAGCGCGACGATATCATCTCGGATGTAATAAGCGACGTACGAAGAACGGGCCCAAGGTCCATGGCAACTGCAAGGTTGACAAATATATTCTAAAATGTTTTATTTATTTATTTATTTTCAAATCATACACAAATTTTGAGTGATGCCGTTTCCACAAAAGTATTAAGCAGCAAAAATAGTTTTCAACATTGATTAATTAGAAATTAGAATTTAAAATAAAAGTTACTTTAAATTCTAATAATATTTCACAATATTACAGTGTATACTGTATCAAATACTGTAAATACAGCATAAGAGATTTCTTAATTATTCCACACTTTCGACTGGTAGTGTCTATGTATATAATTTGTTTTTGTTTTTTACTTGATATTTTGTTTAATCAATTAACTTAATAGCATTTAATGTCATATATCAATATCTGTAGAAGAAATGTAGAAAATGTAAGCTTTTTTATAAAAGAGTGTGTGTGTGTATACACAAAAAATGACTGCAGAACTCAACATGTTATTTATTATCTTTCCATATCATTGATATTTTATTTAATTAATCAAATTAATTGCATTTAATGTCATATATCAATATTTGTAGAAGAAATGTAGAAAATTTAAGATTTTATATAAAAGCTTGAACTACTCAGCACTTATAGAGAGCATGTTCTGTTGTTGGTTTTATGTCAGAGACTATATTTTATAGTTGATGGCGCTTGATTTTGTGTAATGAAATAATGTTTCTATTAAAAATTTGTATTAAGTAGTTAATGATTTATCAAAACAGTGAATCCCTCAGGGCCGTGTGGCATTGTGAATATTGTAATGGCTGAAAGGGTTACGATGGCCTTTAGCCATGATTGTATTCATAATACAGCATACTTTAATAGTGCATTTAATGATTTCATATAAAGATGATAATATGTCTATTAGCATAAAGTCATGTTATCTGTGCTTCCAAAGCTTGTGCGGTGTTGTGTTTTAATGACTAAGAATCAGATAACTTCTCTGCTACATTCATTATAGCAGATTTAGCCTGCATTTGATGTTCTTATTTGGCATCATGGCTGGATTTTACACATGAGAACCAGGACAGCAACGAGTGATACAGTAATGTCAGGTCATCGGATTTAACTTTACTTTCCCTAAACATAGTGGTGTGATCGTCTTAGCAGAGATTAATGTGGTCGGGTGAGGTAAATCTGTCTGTTTTACTCTTCCTGTTCATGCTGTCTGCCGTCAAACAGACTGCAGTGCTCTTTATTTTCATGGCCTGCCACAGAAGCTGTTAAATTATGCATTTCTTCTTTAAATAATGCTTTGAAAACATTGGGGGGGGGGGGGGGGAAATTACCCATAGAAAAATTGTGACATGGACCAAAAAAAAAATAGAAACTAATTTCTTGGCTGTCATAGATGTAAATGTGATGTTGCTTCTGTCTATTTCTACTGCAGTATAAATGACTTTGTATGTTTACCACAGCACAAAGCATCAAACATTTATGACGCAGCCAGACGGAAGAGCTGTAAAGTATCAGTAGAATGAGGTGCAGCAGACGGAGCTCTCTGTAGCTCTACAAAACACGATGCTCGAGAGACCTTTGAGGAAGCTCAAACCAGCTATTCAAAGAAAAGTCAATCCTTTAAAAGAATAGTTCACTCAAAAATAAAAATTCTGTCATTATTGATTCACCCTCATATCATTCTAAACCTAAAGGAGATGTTTTGCAGAATGTCCAAACTGTTCTTTTCCATATTTTCAACCGTAGGCTTTCAAACTGCAAAGAAGACCATCATAAATGCATCAGGAACATACATTTTGAGCAACACCGTTCGAGGTTGTTCAAATGTTTTTAAACGAGATCTGTTCTGCTCACCAAGGCTGCATTTGTATAATCAAAAATACAGTAAAAACTGTAATATTGTGAAATATTATTACAATTAAAATAGTTTCTATTTTAATATATTTTAAATGTAATGTATTCCTGTGATGCAAAGCTGAATTTTCAGCACCATCAGTCTTCAGTGTCACATGATCCTTCAGAAATCATTCTAATATGCTGATTTGCTGCTTAAAAAAATCTTACAGTATATCAATGTTGAAAACAGTTGTGCTGTTTAATATTTTTGTTACATTTTTTTCAAGATTATTTGATGAATATAAAGTTTTACTGTCATTTTCGTGTCCTTGCTGAATAAAAATATTATATTCCTCCAAAAAAAGAAATCTTACTGATTGCAAACTATTGTAGTGATGTGTAATTTTCAATGAATAGTGACTCTTTCCGTGTATCCCTCACACAAGACATTGAAAAACCTAAATACTTAAATAAGGGCTTTTATTTGCCTTTTTGGAGCTTGAGAGCCACTGATTTCTGTCTTTTGTTGTGTGGAAAATAGCAGCTTGATTGTTGCAAATGATTATGATTTGATGGCATGGAAAGAATATATAATGAAACCCCTTTTGAAGCAGTGATAACAATAGAAGTCTGTAATTATCTATAATGCGATGCATGGAGTTAAATATAATAAAACACCAACTTTGGTTCTTTTATACTAAGTAGATGTGCTCTAGGTATGTGTTGATACTAACCGTGTTCCTCCCTCAGGGTACGCCTGCCAGTAAAGTGCGCTACAAAGTGGATCAGGATCTGTCTCCGTACAGCGGAAGTATCTTTGATGTGGAGACGGACACAGGACGAGTTATCACCAAAGTCAACCTGAACGAGCAGCCCAATGCCATCTTCAGGGTGAGTCTTGAGCTGACAGGCCATCCGTCTGCTGTTATACACTTCACTTGTGCTTGAGTTCAAATCCAGCAGAGTTAAAGTTTGTTTTAATTCACGACTGTTTGTAAAAGGAAAGCAGTATGGAGAATGAAATGACTTGGATACATCTGATTTTTGGACATGCTAAAATTGACTAATAAGTCAAACCTGTAGACTTTTATGCTTATACTTTACTTTAAGATTCATTAGGCTTTCATTTGATATCAAGAACTAAAAATGACCAGTAACCTACTTTTACAGCATGTCTACATATACATTTTAACAATATACCATTGCTCATTGTTAATTAATGTTCATTCATAATACATTATAGATTTTAAGTATAAATTAACATTATTTAATGTATTATGAATGAACTCAAGTTAGCAATGAACAGGATATTTTTTTAACTTACATTAACCTAAATTGATAAATGTTGTGAAAGTATTGTTCATTTTAAATTGACAAAAAGGTTAGCATTAACCTTTACAAAAATTATTTTTAATTCTAACCTTTTTGTGAAATTTACTGCATTCATGTTGATATTGAAATCCAAGGTTTTGCTGAGCTGAAGTCAGGTTAAGATTTCTCCTTCTAATGTTTTAAAGGCCAATTCACACTGCACCGACAGACGCAGACTAACAGCAACAGACCGGTTTGTTGGGTTTTGTCGGATCAGTGTGTTAACCCTGTCGGCATCTGTTACTGTTCTGCATTTGTTTTCGCCGATTGAACATGTTGAATCGCCGTTTGTCGGGTCTTGGAATGTCTGAGAAGTGGCAGACTATAATCAGTTGGCCGTTGGCATTGGTCTGTGTCTGTCGCTGCAGTGTGAATTGGCTTTAGTTCACCCAAAAATGAAAATTCTGTCATTGATTACTCACCCTCGTGTTTTTCCAAACCCGTAAGACCTTCGTTCGTCTTCGTAACACAAATTAAGATATTTTTGATGAAATCTGAGGGCGCTCTGACCCTCTCATAGACAGCAAGGGAACTACCACGTTCAAGGTCCAGAAAAGTACCAAGATGCTCAACAAAGTAGTCCGTGTGACATCAGTGGATCAACTGTAATGTTACGAAGCTACGAGAATACTTTTTTGTGCGAAGAAAACAAAAATGACGACTTTATTCCACATTTTCCTCTATACTGCGTCACTTGTGGACGCGCGTTCATGACAGTGCCATGACATGGCGTGATGACATTGAACACATACGTATGGCGCTACTGGGCCCGAGTGTAAACAAGGCAACGTCGTAACATTACAGTTGAACAACTGATGTCACATGGACTACTTTGTCGATCATCTTGGTACTTTTCTGGACCTTGAACGTGGTAGTTCCCTTGCTGTCTATGAGAGGGTCAGAGAGCCCTCAGATTTCATTAAAAATATCTTAATTTGTGTTCCGAAGACGAACGAAGGTCTTACGGGCTTGGAACAACACGAGGGTGAGTAATTAATGACATCATTTTCATTTTTGGGTGAACTATCCCTTTAAGATCGTCAGAAATGGAAATGGTTTGTCAGATGGTCACCAATAAATAACCAGCATGCATCTCATGTAATGTGCCCAATTATGCATATGCATGCCTGGTAAGCAACAGATGTAGCTTTTTATGTCATAAAGTTCTATAAATAATCTTAAGAGAAGAACTGTTGTTAACTAAAACAGCATATTGTGCTACTACTTGATAGAAAAGCTCAAAACAAACTTGAAAAGTTAAAACTAATCAGAGTAACTTATTAAAAAGAGGGTAGAGCATTAGTTGTACGCTTTAGTTACTGTCTCCTCTGCTATGACCTAAATCAATGTATAAATTAATTAGCCTAATGTTAATTGAGCTCAAATCAATTTACCTTTGAGCAAATTTAGTTTTTTCTGTGCTAGAATGACTGGGTTTGAGAGTGAGGGCTGACATGTCATTTTAATCAATAACATTCACTTCTTAGGATTTATTTTTAAGACTTACTTTGGAAGGGACAAATGCAGTATGTGTCCTCTGCATATACTTTGTGCTGCTATTAAGTACCTGAGCAAAAAGTACCTGTGTTTGCTTGTCTGTAAAATAATATTCATATTTACAAAAAAAAAAATAGTTCAGGGACAAATAATAATGTCCGAGATTGTAAAAAAAAATTTGCGCCAATTCATTTTGAATTCATGTTGGTTTCAAACATTAGTTTTTTGAATGGTTATAGCTTTTTTTTGAGGCATAAAATGGATTAAATGTATTTTAGAAATGTCTAGGTTTAACCATCAAGTGAAAAGTGATGACATATTTTCCTTTTACCTTGAATACAAATGAGTGTATCAAACTTTTTCAAAGAAAAAAATGTTTTCAAATACCATGGAATTTTAAATGAGTGTCAGTAAGTTTTCTTGCATTTACATTTAAAAAAACTGAACTAACCATGTCATGAAAAAGACAAAATATTTGATTTAAAATCTTGGCTCTACGACTTTAGAAATGATGTGACAGACAAAAGTTTTTGAAGTTAATACTGTGTATCTAAGCTCCACTATGTCTTATTTCTAGACATTTTACTTTATGCCCCACATTAAATGAATAAATTCAAATTCCGACACAAGTCATTGCCTATATGAACTGCTTTTTAATGTATTTTTCATTATCTCATCTCGTAGCTGGTGGTCATTGCCTATGACGATGGAGAGCCGGTGAAGACGAACAGAACTACAGTGGAAATCACTGTGCTTCAGCCCTCCAGGATTCCCATCTTCACCGAGGAAGAGTACAGGTGGGTCCCGCTGTCTGTAGAGAGCGAGAGAACAGACCTTTACTTATTTATGACATGTTCTCTTTGAGCTCTGAGAGTCAGAATTAGTTTAGCACATATTCCCCGCAGACTGATTCAGAATCTCTGCATGAGTAATGAGTGTTATCTGTGAATATGTGACTAGAAGCGCTGGGAGGCTGACTCGAGCTGTTCTACAGCACTCAAACGCTGTTGTTTTCAAAAGGGCACGTCTGCAGCTCGTCATTGTGTATCAGTGCGGACATTGAAGCTTATAGCATGTTAGGGGGTTTAAAGTTTAATGTTAGAGAAGTGCTTTGTTTGCAATTTTGATTAATGAAGACACAAAGGCTTATGACACTAATAAGGAGCACAATGAATTTATAATATTTTTAATTGCTGTGTAGGTTAAAGCCCGCAGAAACATTTTTTCATTTGATACATTGGGTCATGTTCAACTCACAAGATGTTCAACCATTTTGAGTTGTTAATTTTTTTTATCGAATATTCTGCTTCTTTGAGAATGATCATCCTCAGATTATTTATATATATATAAGTCTGATATGTATTTTTATCAGACTTTTTCATTGGATTGTCTACCTTGGTTCAGGTATTGACCAAGTCAGTCTTTTTTTTTTTTTTTTTTTTTTAACAAAATTTTTTTTTTTTAAAACAAAAAGGGTTTTCCCCACGGGG